GTTGTTGTGATCTCAATATGTATAAGAAACTGTTATAACTTTTGATAATCAATCTATCAAATATTTAAATTATACGGTATAATATGTCATTTTTGTTTATGGGTTTTGTGTGGGAATTTGATTCCTTGTGATAAAAACTGTGATGTACATGTGATATCTTATTGTATTATTTAAAATAAATAATATGATTTTTAACATTTTGTTTTTATTTCTTATGTTAAGACTTATTTGTATTGTTGTTATTGGATGCTTTAGTTTACTGTATAAAATGAAATTTGTGTTATTTGTCAGATTAATATGTGAATTTGTATACATAACGGAAATAATATTATGTGTTTTTAATTAGTAGCAATAAATTATATACTTAAAATGTACCTTTTATTAAGTATTATATTATTAATTATCTTTGTAAAATGAATGTCATTAAAGTAGAAGTAAGATAATGTGTTTTAGGTAACATAAAAAACTAGCTGATGAAACAGGAAGTGTTCTCCCCACTAAAAGGTAACATCGTACTCATTAGAAGATATTGAAGGCAGTGCTTCAAGATTTATCTTTTATATATTTTTAATAATTTATTTCTATTATTATTTCTATATTAATTTACATATTTTCAAGACCGTATTTCGAAATCTCAATACTGACTACGAGAATGTGTTTACACGATTGAACTACATGGGGATTATAATTTATCCGTAAAGCCAGTATACAAGAATATAGTTTTTATTACCAGTGTATAGTCGTACTAGAAGTTATTGCTGAATAAGAAAGGGTTCAAACATCATTCAAATATAAGATATCGCAACAACATCTAGGGTATTTTCTGCTATTTCATAGGATATTATAGTGGTATTTCCCAGTTCAAAAAAGAAAGTTTTGCCACATTGGTAATATTTGATATAACAATTATAATATTACAGGGCTAGTCAAAAAGGGCATATCAATCCAAGGTAATACAAAGTTTTTTCGTTATTATTGAGAGTATGAAACTGATACCATACATACGAGTATATGGAAGTAGTGCCTCAGAGGAATCTGTATTATATAAATAATTTGTAGTATGAAATACTTCAAACTGGTTAATTGTATTTAGGTATATTAATTCTTTATATCCGCGGGTAGTTACTATCTACACAGATTAAAACATGGGACGGAGGTTGTCACCCGCAATTAATTGCATCTCTTTAAACCAATGTTTCTACCTTTCAGTGATGAAGGTCGGTTTGACAATGTTGTTTCGTTATCTGGAACAGCAACGCATTATTGGTATAATGAGTGTCACATGATAACATGATATCCCTAGTGCTGTTCATATATACAAAACCGCTTACAATCTGGGGAACCGTCAACTTGTTTGCCGTTCCAATAATTCAAAAAGCGAATATAGAGAACGTCAGATGTTCTTATCAGATTTTATGAACGTTTACCCTTTAGACTTTGTATTTCAAAGAGAGTTGAAATACAATGTCTAAAGGGATCACAAACAGTCCGCAGATCATGGCTTAAGAATATTTTCGCACATACATGCAGAAAATAATCTAAGAAAGACACTCAGAGGTTAGGAACGATTATTCAAAAATACAAATAAAAGGTGACGCCCTCTGTTCCATTATTTAACTGCACGGATCGTAGCATGTTTAGGTTAGTACATAAGCACCGGCGCGATTGTACATATATTGATTCGAGAAAGTTTTGAAGAATAAGTATGATACGAAAACCCAATTATTTCATTCAATTACTGAGGCTTTAAAAGTTAATAAACCATAGATATATACATAGAATTAATATACATATATATGCACGACACAATTAGTATGATATACTTGAACAATGTTAGCCTTAACAATTACTTTTACATAAAGTATGTCGATAAAACTAGTATTGTGTTATATTATACCACGGGCTTCATTCCGTTGGTAATCGTTTTCACAAATACGTAAATTAATCATACTACTTGTCTCGAATAATTCGTTAGAACAATAGTTCATTTAGTATTAATAAAAGTGCGAGTTTTTTATGTTCACAGATCATTCTGAAGAAATATTGTAAACGGGCTTTTATTTTCTTTATATGACATTTTATCTTAAGTTAAAGGTATAAGGAAATACCTTGGTTTTTTAGACCGGTGAAATATGGCTACATAATCGGATTGCATAAGTAGCTTTGTGATTTGTAAAATAAATATTTTTCTACTACAATGTTTACAAATTCTATCGCTGAAAATATAGCTGAAACTTATTTCAATTATTATGCTTCGAAAAATTGCAAGTTAGGGTTGGAGTGGAGAATAAATTATTGGACATTAAAAATTATGCTAGTTTTATTTTATGTATGTAACATAAAATAAAACCCGAAAGGCCCGAAGTACACTCGCATACTTTATAGGCATGTATATTAGTCTGAGGTTATTTACTGCGATACAAGAAGTAAATACTGATGATTAAAGCAGTTTCTTATTTTTATTTAAATAATCATTAAAAATAATTGCCACTACTGTAGGAACAGGCCAACCAATCTGGGGCACTCGCGGCCGCCCGCCCCGTCTATTTTATAAATATGTCAACTATACAAATATGATAAATACTTAGTATGTTCATTGCAGTTAGACACACGCAATTTGTTCGACATAAAGTTGACCTTGAAGTTGATTTACACCATACAAACCTCCTCCGTGAGTTCCTCACGCCCCTAGGATATATTGTATTGTAGTGGTGGCGGTAGCAGTGGTTGACTGGGTAACGAGGTTAGTTATGTAGCAGTTTGACATACTACTTCATCAATTCCAAATTTGAAATCAAAATTGCCGAATCGAAATCGGTCAATTTCTTTCTGGCTTAAACAGCATTTTTGCCCTTTCTGTAATAAAACAGTAAGATATGTCGAAAATGCTGCTTATTCCTCTCCATATTTAAAAGGGCACCAACCAAAAACTACTGCGTAGAATTAATTGATATTTTTCACACACAAACCTCGCTATATGAGCTCTCAAACCATATAAAAATTATACGGCTTAAGTGTTTACTGGGTGCAAAAGAATACAATTAAATCCTCTGCCAGGAAAAAACGAAATTACTTTCGAACAACCTAATTCTCTTTTTCACCGATTTACACTGTTCTCATGGAGAGGAGAAATAGTTTATTTAAATTTTAAAAAATACTATTTGTTCAATGTATTTGAATATGTGCTACCATCCATTAGGATGGATTTGTTTTATTTGTTTGTAATACTTTATTGAAGAGTAATAAACATTTAATGTAAAATGATTTATTCTGTACTCTTAAGGCCAAACGATAAGATACTCTAACCATAAAAAATAGTTTCCTAAACTTTTATTCATGTAAACATTATTATGTACTACTGTTTAAATAATTGTTTGGTTTTATCTATAGCTACTTCTGTCAATTTTGATATACTAAGAAACCTAAGAAAAGTACGTTTTGATATATCAGGCCCCGTATGCCAATAGCATATGAATGTTGCTGTGAGGTAATAATATCTGTGTTATTTTAGTCTGTACGGTAAGATAATGCAAGTGTAAATGTAAGAATTAAAAAAGCCATGGACCGCTAAATATAAATTTTAATATTATTTATTACGTTGTGTAATTAACATTATACGTAAATATACTTACGGTAGGTTCGTTAATTCTTTTCACCATTTGTTTTTGTAGAAGTTCAAAACTTGGGCCATATTTTCGAATTTCAAGTATCGAATTAAAAATAGGTCTATCAGTTTAATCGGTATCCTATGAAAGAGGTACAAAATTTTAACTTTCTTTTTCCGCATTCCAAATTACGATTATTATTATTTTGTTCAGTGTATTACAACCCTAACTCTCCCATTTTTCTGGTATATCTGAAGCAAAAATTTTGAAATAATTACAGTTATATAAGGATATGTAAGTAAACATTATAGTAAAAGTAGAAGAATGCTACTATATTCAATGTTGTTATATATGTAAAGAAAATAATCTTGTATATTCGTTGAGGAGCTACGATACCAGACTCGCACTTTACAGGGTTTTTTATCACAATATTTAGAAGCTATCACATTAACAAGATCGGAAGGTACCTATTTGTATTAAACGGTTCGAGACGCAAGGCAATCATACAAAGGTTTGTTGATAAAAAAGGTTAAGAATTTGTTTTTTGCTCGTACCAGTGTATACTCTTTAGTACCTACAATAGTATTAAATAAAATATTTAATACTGTTGTAGGTTATATTGGCGATCTAAGCAATGGATCTAACAACATGGACCGATTTATAGCCTTTCTTATGTTATGGTATAAGTAAGAAGTAAAAAAAAAATTGAAATACAGAAAAATTTCTGACTATTTTTCTTTTCATTCCTAAGTAATTTATTGATAAATTTGTTATATTGATATATCACAGTATATAAAATAATAAGAAATTCATTGACACCACATTCATTAAAATTTGATATTTTTTGGGCATTGTGGACAATTGTTTTTTTGTGTATATAATATTTGTAAGTATCATTACAAATATTATATACACAAAAAAATATAATATACTGCTTTTGTTGCTGTAGTCTGGTAAAATCGATTATTCACATTTTTTTTATATAACATTTCTCTACAATTGTCTTTTAGTATTAATATGTATATAGCTTCAATGATGAATGTGCTAAATAGAATATGCTATACTAGTAAGTAATAGTCGATTAATGTATTAATCAGACATTTATGTATTACTCGTATATTGAAAAAAGAATAGTAATTGACAGAATATACTGGTCTTGTCTTTTGCAACAATTTATAGGTTAGACTTCATTTGGTAGTCTTCTCCGTAGTGAGTCCACCGCATTTGTCACAGCGTCTCAGTAAATTCGTACATTGTTATAAAAATATTTGTGTATAAGTGAACATAATTTTTTGTTTCACAGTATTAACATAATAGTATTAAAAGTCACTAATTATTTTAAGTTAAACTGGATTTTTGGTGGTGGATAGATAACAGGTTATTTTATTTTTTCAGATATGGACCTAGAAATAGCGTTCCTCCGCCAGGGTTTCCTCCTATGGGCAGTAAACCAATGCCACTTATGGCTACTGTTCAAGTACCACCAGAACCGCTACCGGGTTACAGAGGTCGGTATGATGGACCTCCATTCGAAGATATTCCTCCTGGCGTGGAGCCACCTGTACCTGGATTTGAGCCTTCACCTTTTGAGAAACCACCCTTTGGACCACCAGGTCCAGTAGATCGCGATAGAGGACCATCTCAAAATTATAGAGAATCTTATAGACCTCCACCTTATGTTGATGGTCCTGTAGGGTACAGAGATATGCCTATTCAAAATGTACCAAATGAGATACCTGTCCATGTTGGAGACCCACCACGGTATCGTGACAATTATAGACCAGGACATTCATTCCGTGATCAGGGTCCAATACCTTATAGAGATGGACAACCATATCGCGATGCAGGACCGCAAGGGCCTTATCGAGATGGTAATTTCAGAGGCGGGCCTCCTCCATTTCGAGATAATTCATATAGAAACGCACCATATAGGGATAGTGGTTACCGTGAAAATCCACCCCATAATTTCCGTAACAATGACGTTCCATTTAGACCTCCTAGTGTGGTTAGGGAACAACCGCCTGCAACTAATTATCACGACCCTAATTTCCGAGATGGATATCGAGATGAAAGCAGCACTAATCGTGAACATATGCGACCAGGTTATCGACCAAATATGCGAAATAGAGGCGGATCACGGCGAAATACAAATCTTGAACATGAAAGACATAGAGAAAGAGAAGGTCGAGATAGGGAACGGTATAATGAAACTCGTGATCAATCTGAGCGTTCAGATAATAGACCCCGTGATGTTGAAAAAAGACCCGGTTACGATAAGGGACGCGAGATGCGTGATGTACGTGACGATCGGATAAAGGAATATGAAAGAAGTCGAGAATATGAAAAAGAAAGAGATCGCGATCATGATAGAAATTCTCCAGACAAAAAGTCACGAGGATCACCTAAAAGGAATCGAGAAGTACGGGACAAAAAGCGCAGTGAATCCCGAGGTCGTTCTCGTGATAGAGATAATAAACGAGAAAAGAAAGAAGAAAGAGTACGTGAGAAAAGTTCGGCTGATAGAAGTAGGGATCATAAAGAAAAGGATAAAAAAGTCAAAGATAGGAAAAAGAAGAAACGGGAAAAAGAAAAAGACAATGAAAAGAAGAAGAAACGGGACAAGAAAGAAAAGAAGGAGAAAGAGGTTTCCATTAAAAAAGAAGATGATATAGATAAGAGTGATTCCAAAGATAATATTCAGGATACAGGAGAAGTCGAACAAGGCAAAAGTATTGAAAATAATACAGAAAAAATTAACGACACGAAAATCCAACTTCAGACCAACAAAGAATCTGTAATAAACAACAAAAATGATTCTCCAAAATCTCTGGAGACAAAAACAAAACTTACAGATGAATTATATGGTGATGAAGTTGCGGACGCCATAGATAAAGAAATCATTCAAAATTATATAACCGGCAATAATAATACGCAAAATGAATCTAAGAATGCTGACGTTAATAATAAGGAAGAACCTTTTGATGGGATTGAACTTCAAGCAAATACGGATGAATTGGATCTTAAACCAGATACTGAAGTTAACACCGGCCAAAGCAAAGAAATGTTAGCACACATGCCGGAGCTTTCAAAATGGGAAGTTGATGAAGATAATACAGAAAAATTCAAAGAGCCCGGAGAAATATCGTCTCCAGAAGAAGAGGAGGAGGGTGGTAAAGTAGTTACGTCTGATGTAATAAAGCGAGCTGAAAACGCAATATTTTCCAAAGCAATTAGTTCTTTGAGACCAATTGAAATAAAGAAAATAAGTAATGATCGATTAAAACTATATGGGGACGATATTTCAAAAAGCTCAATGAATAACATCCAAATAACGGTACCTGTAGTTGAATCTTCCGAACTCAGGTCTATTGAAATAAATGAAAAGAAAAAACGATCTTCTAAAACACCACCACCACGGTTGTCTGTTAAAGAACGACTAGGAGGAAAAGTAGAGGATACGCGTAGACCTCGGGATACTCGTGTGGTACAAAGCACTGTCGAACGAGTGAAATCTCGGTCTAAGACGCCTAAAAAAGAACACAGTTATCGTAAGGTAACAGTAGAAAGAGATAGAGGACGAAAATCAGATAATACTAGATTTGATCATGCAAAAGTAGAAAGACGCGTAGTATCTGAAAGTGTAAAAATTAATGAAAAGTATCATAATCGCAGTCCTAATGGTGAACCAAATAAGAAAGAACTCGACAAACATAAAGAAAATAGAAAATACAATAATGATGTAGTAATTGACTCGCGCAGTCGTACCAATGACAAAAATATCTCAGGAGACTTGAATAAAGATACCATCGAGCGTGAAAGAAAAAAGTCTACTTTGGATGAAGCACACTTTGAACCAGATTATGATGAGAATTTGGAATCTGATATTGAAACCAAAAACGAGCCTATTAAAAAACGTGAGAGATCTGTTTCACCTAATAGTAACATAGAGAACAAAAAAGCAAAAATTGAAAATGAAACTATTAAGTTGGATTTAACTAATGTAAAAAAGAAACCGGAATCAGAGAGTGAATCTTCAAGTGACTCGGAATACACATCATCATCTTCATCGTCAGATACTCGTAAACGGAAGAAGAAGAAGAAACGTAGCAAAAAGAAAAAGAAACGAGCAGCTAGCGACAGCGATAGTGACTCGGATTCTAGCTCGGATGACCATAAGAAAAAGAAAAAGAAACGCAAACATAAGAAAAAATCAAGTAAGAAGAAGAAAAAATCTAAGCATAAGTGATAATGCTTCATTTTCTTAAGATAATGATTTATTATTAATTTGTTAGCGTAGTAAAAAATGGTAATGTTTTTTGATGTAATTAAAAAAATAACTATATACTTATGATAAGGATTTAGTAATACTAAATGCCGGTCTGGTACTGTAACTATACCTACGTAAAGTTTTAAACAATAAAGTTCAAAGCTGATAATTTTGTTTATTATTTAATAAATATTGACATTTTGTCGTTAGAGGTCTTAAAATGCCTATGGACGATTCGATCGGTTGATGTCGTAACCTAATTCTTACAAAACATGCTGGCTTCGGCGCTGTTTTCTTACAATACAGAATACAACGTAATTGACCTATTTAGGTGACAGATTACACAATGTTGTTATTACGGAGTATAAATGTTGCAATAAAGAATCATTACTTTAATTATAAGTACTAATATTATAAATGGGAAAGTAAGTCTGTCTCTCTCGCTTTCGCGCCAAAATTACTGAACTGATTTAAATGAAATTTGGTACACAGATAGTCTAGACCCCGAGATCTAGACTTGATTAAATATAAATAAATAAGATAATAGAAATTTTACCCTTTAGAGCTTAAAATAAAATAGGGGATGAAAGTTTTTATGGAAGTTTGTCATTTTTGAAACTAGAACGATGAAACCTTTTTCTTTGGCTTTTTTGAGTTAGTTTATTTGATATCTCAAAAAAGCTAAATAAAAAAGTCTCATTTCATTCGTTTCATTTATTTATATTTAATTAACAGTCTAAAAAAATCTTCGATTTTTTAATATTAAAATTAAAATTTTGTTAAATCTGTTATATTCGAAATTGCAAACTCTACTTGCGCGAACTAATAATATAAATGTGAAAGCAATTTTATTGAAATTTGGTACTGATACTTTTTAAATTGTAAAAGGGTTGTAAGGTGTTTGAGAAGGAGATGAAAGAATGTATGTACTGGAATATCGTCATTTTCAAAGCTTATTTTTTTATGGCTGTTGATTGAGTTGTATGGAAATTCATTTTTGAAGCTAGAGCGATGAATTTTTTTTATATTGCTATTACTGGGTCAGATTACTAAATATTTCTTCATTATTTCACGCGGACGAAGTCGCGGGTACAGCTAATGTATATCAATGTGACCAAATCATAAGAGGAATTTAGTAGGTACGTACTAAGTACTTTTACACTGTAGTGAATATATTAATAACTGTATTAGTAAGTTTATATAGTAAGAATATTTATTTAAGTATCTTGAGAGAGATTATAATGTACCTAGAGGAGTTCTTGAAAAAGAAAACATTCTATCAGTTTGAATTTTTATTCATATTAAAAATATATTGAATTAGAAGTAAGACATAAATCAATAGCTATATATTATATATTTTTTTATAGAAGTTCAACTTACCTAATGAAGAAATTCGCTCTCCTCGGCACTGCTCTTTACTACAATTAAATCAGCGTCTTAAAAACAAATTATTTATTTGTTCAAACACTGACGCTTTGGCAATTTAATAAATTGTCAATTTTGCTTGTATTATGTAGAAGTTTCAAATTCAAAATTCAAAATATCTTTATTCATGTAGGTCTTTTACAGACTCTTATGATATGTCAAATCTACCGTCAGTTCGTGATGATATCGAGATTAGAAGAACTGACAAGAAACTCAGCTCGTATTTTTTCAAATAATAGTGGAACATGTTTATGATAAATACAGTTATTAAAATTCAAATTTGGGAGAATAGAGTGACCACCAGCATATGCTATCGCAAAGAACAAAAAATTTAATCAGTGTTCACAACCTGAACAGACCAGTCCCCACAAGCAGCACCCGTTCACGAGTATGACGTATGAGCCAGCCATCATTGTACTCAACCATATTTGAGGGAGCACATCGACCCGGCCCACCACGCCGCCACAAGTTTGAACTTTATAGCGAGCATGACTGTTTCAGGTTACTCCACTACGTCAATTATTCATATTATTTACAGCATAGGCTGTACCGATCACAGTTTTCACCCATTACAATATTAAATTTACATTATTTAATTTACAATATGTCATTACAAAATTTATAATAAGTTTCTTTATTGTTATTACATTATCCATGTCAATGGGAAAAAGTCATATGCCTCATAACAAACGTTAAAATTGTAATTAAGTCCACACATTGTAGTCATTTAAGTAGTCGTTTATTTTATAATAAGCTTTAGAGCAAAGTGTTTTTTTTAAATGTATCTTAAATTTGGCTTCACTTAAATTTAAAACACTATATGGCAATTTATTATAAAAACGTATACAATGTCCCATGAAAGATGTACCTACTTACTTTTTTGAGACGATAACTAGGCATATTTAAATTTTTTTATTCCTTGTATTAAAAGCGTGTAAGTGACTATTTTTTGGAAATAAATTTTAAGTTTTTGCGTACATACATAATATTTTCATATATATATTGAGAGGGAACAGTAAGGATACCTGTTTCTTTAAAGCGTTCTCTAAGAGATTCGCGACACGGTAAATTATATATTGAACGAATTGCTCTTTTTTGTAATATAAAAATTGATTCTACATCAGCCGCTCTTCCCCACAATATAATACCATACGACATTATACTATGGAAGTAACTAAAATACACTAGTTTCGCTGTTGCAGTATCAGTCAACTGTCTAATTTTTCTGATAGCAAATGCAGCCGAGCTTAGTCTTTTGGCTAGTGTGAATATATGTGGACCCCACTGCAATTTATTATCTATTACAATACCAAGAAACGAAGTCTCATCAACAAAGTCCAAAACATGATGATTCATACTAACAGTTGTCGTTACTTGTTTTACATTTGGTAAAGAGAATTTAACACATTTTGTTTTCATTGAATTAAGCGCTAGATTATTTGATGTAAACCAGTTTAGAACATCCTAAGAGCAATATTTATATTATTAAAATTCTTTGTATTTCTTTTCACTTTGAAAATAAGTGATGTGTCATCAGCAAACAATACTAGGTCAAGTATGTTTTGAAACTGGTATGGTAAGTCATTTATATAAACAAGAAAAAGAAATGGGCCAAGTATGACCCCTTGGACTTGCTTCCTTTAATGTCTACCACTTGAATTCTATAGCTCAAATATGATCCAATGGGTTCTGAGGATTTTTCTCTAATTCCATAATGCTCTAGTTTGCGTAATAATATCCTATGGTCAACGCAATCAAACGCTTTAGAGAGATCACAGAAGACACCAATGGCATCCTTGAATCTTATACCGAAAATACTTTGTATTAAGTTAATGCCTGCATCAGTAGTAGACCGTCCACTCATAAATCCAAATTGCTGTTTATGAAATAAATCATGTGTATGAAAATGAGCAAACATTTGTGTAAGTAGTATCTTTTCAAAAATCTTACTAAATACTGGTAAAATTGAGATAGGGCTAAAATTTGATATATTGTCTTTGTCACCAGATTTAAATAGCGGTATTATTTTACTCACTTTCATTAGATCTGGAAAAATACCTTGATCAATGCTCATATTAAATATTTCAGTTAAATGTGAAGCAACTTCACTTATTACAGTTTTCATGACTCTAACTGACATACCCCAGATATCCTCAGTTCCTTTTAGATTGAGAGCGTTGAACGTTTTTATCACACAGGAGCAACTGATATGATGAAAAGTAAAGTCATGAACGCAAGGATTTATGGTATTTTTTAATAATGTTTCAGCTAAACTAGGTGATGAGTTTAAATTTTCCGTAGCTTTGAGAGGTATTGTTGAAAAGAAATTATCAAAAGTTTGAGCAACTAGTTCATTATTATCAATAATAACGCCATTTTCTGCTTTTAACTCATATTCTGACTGGCGCGACTTAATGTTACCTGTTTCTGTATTTATTATATTCCAGGTAGTTTTTATTTTATTTTTAGAAAACTTAATTTTATTCTTTAAATGAAGTGCCTTGGCGGCCTTACATACTTTTTTGAATAACTTTGAATAATTTTTGACATATTCATAGAATATAGGATCACGCAAATATGATCTAATATCATATAATTGATACATATTTTCCCTACTTATATTGATACCTAATGTTGACCATTCAGCGTACTTAGAATTATTGACTTTAAGTTTCTTTACTGTAAAATTTTTATCAAAATGATTTTTTATTATATTGAAAAAACGATTATATGATATATTTGGATCAATATTATCAAATATTCAAAAACGGTAAACTTCCATTTAATCTGTTTTTAAAATTCTGTAATTTAAATGCTGTTGTTGGTCTGTAGAACTTATACATAATCTCGTTTTTTTCATTACATGCGAATGTTGCTATTTGTCCACAATGGTCTGACGGCAATCTATTTATAATCGATTTATTTAAAATACTAAAATTACAATATATATTATCAATACATGTTGCCGTAGTGGATGTAATCCTAGTAGGTTCAAAGAAAATATGATCCAGATCAAAACTTTTAAAAAGGTTTCTAATTTTATTACTTATAGGACTATCAACAAGAAGATTTATATGGAAATCCCCACATACCAAAATAAATTTGTTACTTTTGAATGTTAACTTCAGTACATCTTCCATGGTAGACTCAAATTTTTCATAGTTTGAGTTAGGAGGCCTATACACACATATAATTATGTGTTTCTCTAGTTCTGCAAATGATAATTCTATAATGCATTCATTTGAAAGTGCTACAATATCTTTACGTTCTTTCCCTTTAATGTTATTTTCTAATAAAATAATTGAACCACCTCTAATTGAAATTTGCCGAGTAAATGTACTCAGTATTTCATAATTTGGTAACTGAAATACCATGTTGGACTGTTTTAACCAATGTTCTGAGGCATACAATGCCAATATTAAATTTACTTATAAATAATTCTATCTCTAATTCTTTGCCAAGAAAGCCTTGAATATTTTGATGTACTAAATTTAGTTGTGATGGCTTTCTCTTTGTCTGTAACTTAAGTTTAAAGATTCTTGCACAGAAACATTAGTAAAACTACTAAAAACTGTGCAGTCAGGATAAGTAGCTATATGTCTTTTATCAAAATATGACAAATACAAAGTATTTTTAGTCAATGTAAATTTTTTTACAAATTTATTTGATCAAAACAATGAATGTTGTCATTATAACAGCTCATGTTATATATATGAGTGTTAAGTTTAAAGATATAATTATTTCTATTCTTTGATAATGATTTTGAGTATGGAAATGTACATATTACAAATTTTTTAATTCTCATATTTGAGACAGATTCAAATAAGTTCATCAAATCATTTTGAGTAGATACCTAAACTATTTAATGAATAACACAATAGTTGTGTATTCAGTATAACTATTTTGATTTTTTAACATTCTATCAACTATATAATTAAATGGGGCATTCGGCTTACAATTGTTTTGGATATGTTCACTCAAACAGTTATTCATGAGTGATCCTAGATTTATTCATATACTATCTGAATATATTACAGTGTTATTCTTACATGTGTGGTGACTACTAACAACATTGGGTAGTATATTTGTTTGTTCCGGAGTGACAATGGATGTTGATGAAGGTGATGTGTAATTGCCCGACATAGTGTTGCAGTCTGCATGTTGCTGTGACAGTTGTTCTGATGTTCCACTTTCACTTTTTGAGTTAAATTCAAGCAATTCCTTCATCACAACATTATGTTTTGATATTTGAAACTGAGCATGTGAGTACTTGTCACTAATAGCATCATGATGTTTCCAGTTCTTTTATATGCAATAATAACCTTGTAGTATTTGTATCAAACTGTAATTTATGGGTCCAGAACTGATTTTCATAATATTCTAATTGTTTTTCAAAATTAAATTCTTTTTCTTTTACTAATTTTGATAAGGCAATTTGATTAATTTTGAAAGATTTTCTTTTAATTTGTCTGCTTATTTTTCTATAGTTCTTACTATTGTAATTAGTTAGAGGGTACTTTACTCGCTTCTGTTGTACAAAAGGCTTTTGTGTGTCGGAGATGGAGTGGACAGGGTCAGGCTCATCACATACACTTTGTTCGATCAACTCGGCATATAATGCCGATTTAAAACCATGCCGATTCAATTACTGTATTTGGTCTTGAGTTTTAAATACAGGATGTTCGGTAGATCGTTGAACATAAGAAAATGAGGGATAGATGAGATATTAATGCTGCATTTGAAACTATGTAGCAGAAGATGATATTGAGAACCACAACAGTGGAAATAAGACGGCGTTGCAGAACTTGAAGAACGGCAATTTGCAGCAGATCGGAGGTCGGTAAGTGGATGGAGACAAGGTTGAAAGGGTAAAAAACGGTTCATTTCTATTTCCGGCAAAACTACAAGTCCTGTAGGAAAAAAGATAAATGGCAAAGTTGTAGGTAATAAAAAATCTACTTTTGCATTTATACTTTTTTTCACATAACCTCAACATTTATGTCAATCAATCAATCAAGTATTGGGAAGTTTCAGAAATGATATGTCGATGCAGCTGTACTTTTATTTAATCCTTTTTCAAATTACACTCCACGTAAATTGCGTCGCTGTATATTTACGTCTGGTCGTCTCCGTCGCCTCGAACAAAGAGAGAGCAGCCCGCTCCCTCCTTACTCCTTGCCTCTTTATCTCTATTACTATTGGTGGCGGCATAATCGTAACGCCACCAACATCACGTGACTCGCTATGGTTTTAAATTTGAAATGTAAGTACCAAATTAGTCAACTGAGTGTTCTTTATGTATTGAAGCTAACACAAGTAACCAAGTTTTTATATATTACGTAATAACGAAGTCTATAAAATATATTAGTCTTGCTGGAAATCGAGATAAATCGTTTTTTACCTTGTATCTACAATACTTACAATATTTAGTTATACTGTATCAACGTTATGTACCTACTTTGAGCGATGAGCTTCTCGTCTTCAGAATGAACATTAGTATATTTGGTGTGTTAAGTCACTATAAACATTTTAAGCCCAAATTAACCATAACCGTAACATATAAATATTCTGCGGTTGTTTAAAAATGAAGGTCTTTAACGACCTTTCGAATTAGATTCGCATGCATTTCTTTGCGACTTAGGTTAGACTTATTATTAGGTAAATAAAAGAACATAAATGAATATTAGTTTATTGTTTTGAGATAAGTAGGTAGGTACACAGTTAATTGAAAGTAATATATCTCATGCGTTCCTTCGATACCCGCCAATTAAACTTAGTCCAATGTGGTGTAGCCAATTTTTACGTTTCAATTCGCGATCATATTTCACTTCCTCACGGAATTCACGCCATTGATCTCGGGTTTCGGTTTCTATTGGACCATAAGTGGGTTTCTTTCTAAAGGAAGTTTTTACGGTCTGGAAGGAATTGAAATGTTTCATTTAAATATATATTGCAATGATGTACTTCTTTATGGATGATGTGATTGTATTTTACTTTCAAGGTTTGTTATTATACGAGTAGATCATATACTAGATATACATATACTAGCTCATTACAGTTATCCGTTTCTATATTTTTTGGATTGTTGTTGTTATATTTAGTGAAATTATCTATATTATAATTAGGTGTTTCCACAACTACACAATTTATCCCATATATTTCAACCTTCCAGATTATTTTATATCTTTCGACGGCCTCGGTGGTCTAGCGGTTTAGCACACCGCTTACTTTGCGGGTTCGGTTCCTCGCATGGTGCAAACATTTGTATTCATGAGTATGATTGTGTCGGTCTGGGTGTATTCTATTTACATAATGAATGTATTTCCAAAAAAATCTAAGTATTTATATCAGTTGTCTAGTTCCCATAACACAAGATCTGCTTACCGTAGGATTAGATAATGCTGTGTAAATTGTTCAGGGTTATTTATTTCTTTATTATATTATTGGAGATATATTGGCGGCTTAGTCATGAAAAATTAACAACCAGATAGGCAGATATAGAGAAATAGAGAGGACAATAAAGAGACAAATAGACACAATTTTACATTTATCATATTAGTGTACTATGTGTGAACTTACCTCGGCGCAGTTGTCAGATCTGTATTTCCAAAATGCTATAAAAATAAATAGAGGAATCAAAGCCATCCCCACATATTGCATACTGTTACCGGCAACTGAAAAATACAATATATTTGTAACTTAACAATGGGAATATGAAGTACTAGCTACTATATGTATAAAGCTTCCTCTTGAATCACTCTGTTAAAAAACCGCTTTAAAATCCATTGCGTAGTTTTAAAGATTTAAGCATACATATTCGGTTATTTTTGTTAAAATTGTTTTTAGATCTAGAAGATCAAATTTCAGGGACTCTCAGAAGCGGGGGTCGTTCTTTAGAGTTTCATCGTCGTTATCATTATCAGGCAACTGCAGTCCACTGCTGGACTTAGTCCTATACCAAGGTATACCACTGGGCACGATCCTGATCCCCGATCAGTTGTAATCCGATTTTTGGATTATAACTGATCGGGCAAAAGTACATAAGCGCCGACTAACCATCTGTACATATGTTAAGTACATATGTACAGATGGTTAAGTTTGGAAATATAAAGGTTGATTCGAAAGGAGCAATCATTGAAGCAATCACAGACTATATATAGGTCTAATTGTAAGAATAAGAACAATGGCTAGTATAATATCCGACAAGTAGGTATATCTAACAATATCTAATGCATATATAGGTATTGTTAATATTATTTAAAAATATATTGTATTAGATACATTATTCTAACAGCACAAGGACAATATCTGATCATGATACGTAGGTATCTTCTGTTCTAAACAGGACACAATTGTTGAATTAATAAAAATAATTACATTTTGGAATTTTTGATTTTATATTTATTATTATAGTAGTGTATGAAGTAATACGTACTGTACGCTGCCCTTGGATATATATATTCACCACCAAACTTCAAAGCTTCCGTGGTGTACATGGCGTACGAAAACACAGCGATCATCATCAGTGGTGTCATGATGGCCCAACAAATTCGCCAATAAAAGGACGTTTTGATGCCAAGCATAAATTCTATATCTATACACAGATTCTCCAGACCTGTAAAAACGAATGGTTACATATAACATTTAGATTAGGTAGGCAATATAGTATTTTTCATATAACATAGAAACACATCATCTTGACTTAGAACATAACTGTTAAGTGACCAAAATAAATCGTAATGAATACAATATCTACATTTCATCACTCCTCCCTAATAATATAATTTACTTTTCTAATTAGTAACGTTTTATATGTAAAAAAATATCGATATAGGAATTGTTAAATAGTTGTTATTAGAATTTGCTTTAGTAACGGTAGATAAAGTTAAGTTTAATTTTTTTGTCACGGATAATTATTGTGGAGAAACATTCTGAATTACTTTACGGCCTTTAGTCATATAGAATTGAGGTGGTCCTCAACAGATAAGGTAACTCAAGATGTTTTACCATAGGCCATACCAACTTATGGTTTATTGTACCGAGAAATAGTATTGATAATAATGTCATTATGATAAAGTTTGCGTACATTAAATAGTTGCAATAGTTATCACTTTCTTTTGATGTCACATCAAATGGCGCATTTGGCAAATATAGAGTTAAATTATCCTATTATAATCATTATATAAGTAGTATAATTTTATACTAATTAAAATAATATTAAAAATATTCAATAGATACCTAATTATGAAACAATCGTACTAACCATAAATCCAGAAAACGCCAATAGTTTCCGCTATGGCTGCAAACAACCTCATAAACGTTCCTCCATAATAATCTACTAACTCTAATATGTACTGTCCACCCTGAAATGAACGTTACCTTTTCAAATTCAAATTCAAATTCAAAATATCTTTATTCATGTAGGTCTATTACAGACTCTTATGATATGTCAAATCTACCGTCAGTTCGGAATGATTTCGAGATGAGAAGAACTGACAATAAACTTAGCTCGTATTCTTTTCAAAATAATATTATACATGTTTACAATAATACATATTAATTAATATATCTGTTAGAAAGTAAAACTGAGAAAATTATAAAATATACTTTACCGGCGTTACATAAATTAGTCCCACTAAGAAGCCTACAGTGCATGTCATTGTAGACATATAAATTGTAGGAATTCTTGGAAAAGCATCCAGTAATATAGTATTAATAGTGGACAGTAACGCTACTCCTGACCCAACACCCAACACACCCATCATCAAGAAGAAGAGAACGGAGAAAAGCTGAAACAATTATTAGCAAATTAATTGCAAACTTGAGTGTAGTTCATTTGGATGAAAGGGCATAGACTGGTCGTGGAAATTCCCAAAAATCATCCATCCTCATTCGTGCATGTAATGTTATATGCAACCGCGGGAAATACGATATGGTGAGATTCCAGGATATCGCAGCATGGGATTTCTTCGAATAAATTGAGAAAAACTGGAATGTACAATTAGGGAAAAGAATAAAATAAATAAATATAAATTCTGAACTGTATTAAATCTCCTTTAGTTTACATTTATAGTTCTGTTATAGAATGATTATTTTCTTTTCGGTCGCCAGTAGTGTGTTACAAGTGATATTTCCCGGTTTGAGCGGCACGTACGTGCTGCATAACATGTGTTTGACAAAACAGCGTGTTCTACTACTTCATAATCATTCTAATATTTATTGAAATTATGTATTCAAAAATGCTATATATATATAGCGCAGAAACTGAAACGTTTCATAAAAACAACGCAATTATTATGAAGCAAGAGGCTTACGGCATAAGTTGTTAATGGGAGTAATTTATTTGGCTATTACTGTACTGCTAAACTATTATAGTCTCATTCTAATTATATAATGAAATCGCTAGGTTTTGGGATTAAAGTTACGAACCAATATGATGTAGGTATGCTCAGAGTGGTTTTTTATGTTTCTCACCTGCGGAACAAACGGAGATTTGGCTATCGCATCTGGGTAGGAAACAAAAGCTAAACTTGTCCCTCCGGAACCGACTACCTTACCAATATCAGGCTCCCCAAGCTGATGAGCCAAGTTGCCTAGTACGCCGAATATTGTAATACCAGATATTAAACTAGTAAAAGTATCCAGTGTGGTGACAATCATGGAGTCTCTGTAAGTAATGGATAGTAACGTTGACTTCGTAAGAATTACAATTTTTATCATCGATTTTAATGTGAGTGTTCTCTATGTATACTATATTTACATAAAAATGTATTTATTAAGTATGTCTATGTACTCATAGTCTAAGCTCTGTTTATTTTAGGACTAGTCGGTGCTGAGTAACTTGTCTAGGGAAAGCGAGAGAAATAACTTAAAACTTTAGTAGGTTATTTTAATTAAAAGTAAAGCTCATAGTCAAAATTTTTCATGTACTAGAACTAGTAACTACTAATATTTACTACTTACTAACTACTAATTTTACTAAAATTTACTACTAATAGTACTAATATTTTGATAATATACATTTATGTATAACTGATATGACACTATTTTCTGATTATTAGTAGTTTTAAAATTGGGTGCTCTACAGTCGTTAGAGGGCTTATACGTAATCTGCACCGCTCAATTTATATGTTTCGATCTACATATCTAGGTATTTGAATTATAGATTTGTGGGTATTGTACAAAATAAACATGTATCTACTAAATATAAATGTGTCTGAGATAAATAAATAAACCAATTATTTGATTATTACCTGTATACATTTTGTTTAAATCCATTATAGGAAGCAAACATGATAAGAGCGCCTGAGCATACGGAAAGAGAAAAGAATACTTGCGTCACCGCTGCGTACCATACCTGAAAAGAAATAAAGAAGTATAAATTATTTGTAAAATTTGAAAAAATCTGGCCTAGAGACATTCATTGGCTGCTATAATTATGGATATTTAACTATAATAAAATTACTAAAACTAATCTATGGTTTGTTATAAGTTAGGTACATAAATATTGAACCATATAAAGCAACTAACTGTTAAAACTATGTGTGTGTGTGTGTGCGTGTTGAAAGAGGACCATTATTTGATCTTGTTTTAAGCGACTAATATTTGTCACTATGTACAAGTACTGCAAGAGTTTAATGAGGAAGAATAACTTTTTTAAATTTCGGCTCTGTTATCTAAAAGGAAGCTACAGTTAATGATTTAGATTGCTTTTAGAATGCCCTCAGATTATTGTGTAACAACAATTTACTTAATGATTATTTTTCATTTGTCGTGTCTTCCACACGACAAATGAAAAAGAAAACATTCTACAAAACAGAGCTATATTGTTTTTAGTATTCCAAAATACGGAACGCACTTGGAGCCACTCCACTCGCCCGTCTCTCTGCTAAATATCAATTGCAAAATATATATCTATTTGCTTTCTTTGCACTGAGCTTCGAAGTTTAGGTTCGAATTTCTAAATGATTCCATAAAATAAATAAAAGAAAAAACAAGGATTCTTCTGTATCTATTTAGTCCTCATTGAATCAGTACAGTGAATGATAGTAATGAGAAAATTGGTTTTGCATAGCTAATTCATAACAAACGGGCTCATTATTATCATCAGAAACTTACATTTTAAAAAGAAAATCCACGAACCTTGATTTTTAAGATTTCATCCCAGTCAGGTGTTATAAAGAACAAAATGCCTTTTCCAGCCCCTTCAAGTGTGACGGCTCTGCAAAAAAATCATTACATTGTTTTCCTTCAATATTATAATATTACTGTTATTATTTATTAAGAGCACAAGGAAAAGTAACCAAAGCAAGCCTAAAGGCTTACTTTTGGTTATTAGCCTATTTAGAAACATTTTAGTTCCAGATTTAGTCTAATTAGTTCAGAGTTATTTTTTTATGTGCAAAATAAGTAATAAAATGTAAAGCAATAATCAGAAACTAAGTTAGTCCTATATTATTCTCACAGACTAGTATGTGAGAATAGCACATAGGCTATTTTTTAATATTTTTTTTTAACAATAATAGCCACATTAGTAAGTAATACTGTGTCGTGGCCGTCAACTAGTAAACATAGTGATAGGCCCACCTCCTTAAGACAGAGGCGTTAGCGTTCCGGAAATAGCAAATACAATAAGTTTATATAATAAAAAGCAAAGCAAAGGCATGCATGATTACGTTTATTAAAAATGTATTATGTAAATTGGGCGATATATAATAATATATGTAAGTGTGATGCAGACGAAGTTGCGAAGATGCGAACCTGCCGGCGTCTCTTGGATTAATTTTTGATTTAGGCAATATCGGTGTTGCCTGCACCGGAGAGTCGGTCATAACTATAAATCGACACGCAGAGTATTTTTTAATATTTGATTTTAATTGAATTTATGTTATTATAATACTAACCTTATTAATAATATGAAGAGGACAATGTACGGAAATATAGCAAGAAAATAAGCGGCTTTTCCAGAGCTTTTAACGCCGCGAGCTACTATGAAAAATATTATGAGCCAGGAAGCTAGTAAACATAGTGATAGGTCCCATAATGGCGCCCCTGAAAAGAAAAAAATACATTTAAGCTATGAAATGAGATTTACTTTCAGATTGTGGTCAATTTCATTGCCAAGCAGTTTAACTGCAGTCTTCAGAAATAGCAAGCACAGAGTTATATGAGATAAGCTTGTTGATTATTACAAGTCATAGAAAGTATCTAATACATGTATTTGAACAAAAAATAATCATAATTAACTATGTTGAATTCAATTTTGATAGTATAACCATATATTATGTATACTAATTACCAATCGACCGCTATATATGTTCTGATATGATATCACGATATGACGATTACAACGTGAATTAAATGAATTCCGGAGTAAATACATACCAATACCATCATGAATGCCATCCGACTGCCGTAGTACAACATGTCTGTAATAAAAACAGTTACAAAATGAGCATCACAAAAGTAGTAGGTAGAGGTACACTTTCTACAAAGGTTTGTGTGTGAATACCAGGGTATCTCACCCATTAGAGCCACTTGCAATTATAGGGTACGAATGTATAAAACATCAGCAGGTATTCAAGTCTAGTAAGAGTCAGAGTTATTGAATCTACTATTAAAACGGATTTAAAAATTTCATGCCCCACCACCTCCGGGTTAACAATATTTGTAATGAATATAATAAATGACTATATTGATTCTTGACACATAGAACAATATTGAAATAATAAAAAAAACAAAATTTATAAGACATTACTCAGAGTCAATGTGGTTTACAACTCATAGCATAATGCTGGAAATGGTTTAAATATAATAAAATATAATGATAATGCAATGGTACATACATGTGAAAAACACATTATGAAAGAATTTTAAAATGTATTAGTATATCGTAATTAAATAATAATCCAATAATCAGCCATTTCTATTAGATAGTATCATAGAATTAATAATAATTTACTTATGAATTTGCCTATTAACAGCAGTTTAAATAGAGATTACGGGTAGGTGTTATCTTATTAAAATAGATTACAGCGGCCATGTCTACGGCCTATCAATCAATATTCACTAGGTATTGGTTCTACATATGCCCATTACGTACTTAGGTACATATTTAAAAAAAATCATAAATTTAAAATAGGTACAGATAAGTAAAATGATGGTGAAACATGTTATGATAACCTCATTAATTTTCCTTATTGTTTTCAACATTAGCAAAATATACTCATTATTTTATATGTAGGTATGTATTTTTTGTGTTACAATAATTGTATTAAGAAATAATAACCGAAAAATATTTTCTTTTACAATTATATAGTAATTATAAAGTTTTCTGGGTGTTATTTTATATCCTATTCCCACCTACATTTATTTGTTAACCTTTTGAACCGACATCTATTAGTAGAAGAATTACATGAGGTATCACTATTAATTGCGAACTAATTGTAGTAATTAGTATGATTGGATTGATTTTAGTCATTATTTAATTACAAAGAAATTTTACATTATCGCTACTTCAAAGTCAATCGACGACAATCTGATCAACCACCTAATATTATTAGATTAAACATATTATTATTAACGAAAAATCTAAGCCTACTGAATACTGTAACTCTTGCTATTGCTCAATAACTGGATATTACAAAATGTTACTTGCTCTAAGTACTTACGTGAAATATAATTCGGCGCTGCTGGTTGCAGTTTCGTTTGAATCCGGATCTACCACATTGTCTACATCAATGCAATTGTACTCTGTTATCCACTCCTCCTGACATACAGACCATGGCAGTGTGGCTTGAAAGCTCATAGCCAGATAGAAGAGACACAGAGCAATAATGGAGACGTAATAAGACAACACGTAACCAGCACCTAAAGCCTGGGCGTATCCAGTACCTAAAAGTTTTTGAGAAAATTTTGTCATACATGTATGTATCCGAAACTTTATTATTATTATATAATACATATAAATAAAATTGTAGTGACTGTTCGTAATATTGAAATAACCGTTTTTTACTACATGCATATGAATATAAATATGGTACATACCCCAAAAATGTTTTTTACAATTTTTGTCTGTCTGTCTGTCAGTTTGTTCCGGCTAATATCTGAAAAGGCTGGACCGATTTTGACGGGACTTTATTTGGCAATGTAATAAGGAGTAACTTAGGCTACTTTTATTTTAGAAAAATAAAGTTAAATTCCACGCTGACAAAGTCGCGGTACAGCTAGTGTGAAATATATTTGTTTACATGTTCTTTACATTACCACGTTTAAATAATTGGATGGAATTACATGACATGGCATATAATTTATCTAGACTATACTACTGTACAGTATAGTAGATAAAATATAAATGATTGTATTAATGTTATATGTACAATGTTGCACTTATGTATATTTACGTTATAAGTTGTAATTTTTTTTGTAAGTACCTTTCATAGCTGGTGAAAGGCCCCAAATTTTCACACAATTACTGCTACTAAATTGACCCAGCACTGTTTCCAAGTAATACATAGGTTTGCCAATTAAAATCAGGACTATAATGTAGGGTATAAGGAAAGCGCCACCGCCATTCTGGTAAGCAACGAATGGAAACCGCCAAACGTTACCGAGGCCAACAGACGTGGCGATACAGGACATCAGGAATTCCATTTGATTGTCCCATTTTGGACGATCTTTCGAACGGTCTTCCACCTAAAAATATATATATATATATATAAGAAAGGAAATCTGTAACATAAGAAATAAAAAAATATTTTTGAAATGTACTGAACCAATGCTTATGATATCGTGTTTAAGTATACATTCTTTTGCAAAGAAAATAAACATTAATAACCACAAATAATTATAATCATAATCGTCTATCGGCTGGTTTAGTTATAAATACTTTTTTTTATTGGTAGGCAGGTTTTATAGTGATGCAAATAACTGGCATCATCAAGGGCAGTAAAACAATAATCGATATATTTATATTAGTGCACCTTCATTTATTATGTAGAATTTCTATATATAATAATAACAAAAAAGATGTGCATTTTATCTATTATCAAAAATTATGAAAGCCCGCAATAAAAATAGTAAAGATATAAAATAGGTGTAATAAACATGTAAAGATGTTTACATAACTTTAATTTAATTCAACACTTCCTATATGCGGAAATAAAATCACGATATTTTGTTTAGACAATAATTATTAAAAAGTATTTAGATAATCTGGACGTGGAAGAGAATGGAGAAAATAAGAATGTACTATGTAATAATCATATCATAAAAAGAACTCTAAAATATGGATTGACTGGAAGAGATCTCTTTTAGAGATAAGTCCTCCTTTGTTAACTTTGTATTACGAGTATATCAGGTTAATGTTAAGTAGGTGCACTTTATGGAAACCATAGTGATTAATTCCTGTGAATTTGTTACATCCTGCCGTTATCCTCATATTATCACCTTCCTCTGTTGCTCTTCCAGCGTATACCGTTAGTGCAGGTTTTTTTTTTTAAAAAATAGTGCAGGTTGGTGTACCATTTGATGTTCTCCCACCAAAACAAAATGCTCTGCCCCTCATCCATACGGCAAACTATGTAAACGATGTTGTAATTTGAATTAAATTATTATGATTATCTTTATGTGATAACCTCAATCTGATTCTTAGATAAGATTCGGTCGCTCAAACACCGTATTTGTGTGACTTGAATACCTAATGACCTTTAAATAATTAGCAAATTGTACACACTTTCTATATACTGATATGTATAATTGACTAATAGAAAAAAATATTATGTTATGATGTGCTTAGTTAAAATTTCATGTTTCAGCATAAAAATGATTCTGAATATAATATGGGTTACAATGACAACAATTGTGTACTTATTTGGTTGTTTACATTTCGTTGATGAAATTGTTAGCCCTTTAACTACGGGACTCGAAAAATATTTGTGATAAACAATGATTAAATTGTACTTAGTATTATCTTTGTTTGTGGCAATTACCTAATTCAATTAAATTTTTAATATAAGTAGGCGTAATCGAAGTGAATAATTTTGTTTTATTAAAAATATTAACGTAGATTTTAGTGTCAATATGATCAAATAGCTAATAGGGAACTTCGTGTACATTTTTTAAGATAATATGCCTACCTCTTTGGCAGGCTCAGCACTTGTCTCGTTGGATTCAAATATAACTACTCATCAAAATGTGGGCTGATCGAGTGTTGCGTTTTAGCATGACATGGACAATCGTCAATGCCTCTGACTATCCCATGCGGGATAAAAGCTATTGTTTAATTTAAACGGTAATATACCATTAAAATTGATAAATTTAAATACCTAGCTGTGACTAGCAACTTTGTCGGATTTTTGAAGATTAAAAAGAGGTGGTATAGATCCTCCTGCGAATTTATATAAGAATTACAGCTAATGCGGCCGAAATTTGTTTCTTGCTTATACTTTTATTGTCTTATTTATCAACGTGATTGTAATGAAATGAACACTAAAACTTTATTACTAAGTTATTACTAAACTTAATAACTAATTAGTATTATCTATGACTTAGGTTGTTTTTAAATTAGAAATTTTATTTATCTTAATCATCTGCGGATGATGTCGCTGGTAACAGCTAGTTATTTATATAGCAAGATTCTAGAACCGCCAGATTTACTTAACCATATTTTCTTTTGACTAAACTTGCTTGATTAAGTAGTGTTATTGTGTTATATTTATATTTCGAAAGCTAGTGCATCATAGAATGTTATTTGTGATCATAGTAATAGTACTATGATGTATGTCTACCTACTAGCTTTCGGAATATAGCTATGTACTTAGCTATAGTTTATATTCTTTTGGTGAAAATCTGTTAAATTTATTTAATTCTATAGATGATTGCATGTACGATGAAGTAAGTCAATATATGATGTTGAAAGGAACACAAAAAGTAAAAGGAAATAGGTACTATTGCTGCGGGAGTGGAAAAGTGTCACCGCAACACAAGTCCGTTCATGACCACGTGTAAGATAGCAATATGTAAATTATGAAATTATTACATTTCACTTACATTGGCAATCGTTCATTCTTAATCCATTTACAGTTATAGTAATTATTATGGTGTAGGTTCAATGTTACAACAGAAAATTATTGAGTAGTACATAGATTGTAGGTCGATTTCCAGAAGATGGAATTACGACATCAAAAATAGTACATCGAGATATACAGTAGATGGGTATTAGCACAGATTTAATGTATCTAGTAAAAACTCAGACCGTATTTTGAAGTGGATTAAGGAGAGATTTATCTTAGTTCCACTGTAGGCAATGGATAATTTGTAGTAATATTATATATCTATATATACACATAAAATACTTACCTAGATCCTTTACGTATTATTTTCTTAATGTCATAAGAGTTACAAATGAATAAAGACATTCAGAAAAATATCTTGATTTTCACATAAGAATAGTTAATTAATTTTGGAAATTATCGTATATCAACTTACTTGTGGTGTACCGAGTGTTTCCAAGTTTAACTTTTCTGGCGATTTATCAAATCCTTCATTGGTGTTCGGACCTGACTCCGCTTTCCCCGTATTTGTAGACTGTTAAAAAACATTGGATTTTCTATAAAATTATTCAAATAATTAAATAATCTAGCTTTTGTTATTTGGTTGCATAACTGTTATTTATTTACTTACCATATTATTTGTTTATCTACAAAGTAACTATATACACCTACATTCACTACGCTTTTACCCGGCCTACCACTTCGTGGCAAGTATCACAAGTAAAGGTTATTTTATTTCTTTTCTACCTATTTATTTCATATAATTGTATTGTCATCATAAAACATATATCTAGCGATAAATAATTTGATATGAACTTTTATCTCATTAATGCGCTTAGGTAATTATTATGCTTATATTATGAGTATTTCAACTGTGATAGATACCTAAAACTGGTGTGCGGGTTTAGGCTATTAAAGAAATATTGGTATTAATGAAATAATTATATTAATCTAGATTGCCTTTTTCTAAATATGTATCTATATTTAATTTATCGATTTTAAATTAGTGCCAATAACTACCTACTATGATTTGTATTAACTAACGCTGAAAATGTGTAATCATACTGAATGGACAATTAACAATATTGCAATCTTCAGTAATTAAAGAGAGTACAAATACTCTTGACTCCGGAACTACTACTACACTTATAAGAGATAATCCTCTTGACACCTTAATGATTCATTATTCTAAATGAGTACATACGAGTGGGGAAAAGGAGATTGTTTGTAATATTATGTTATCTGTGGTAATATGGACTAATAAACACATTACAGGCCATGTACCTCCACGCGGTTCCCCCAGGAAACCATTGTGATAAATTCATGTGAATTTACATACTACGATGGGATAACTGGCCTGATTTCATATTCATCTTATCATCCTCCACTAGTATCTTGCCAGTGTAAACCGTTAGCACAGGTGGATGCACCATTCAATTATCATCCATAAGAATAAAAGTACCTACATACGAGTAATACGTTCCCATAGGCCGTAGCGTGATTAGTACTTCGAGTTGCCTATTTTCTTTTCATAAGTCCCATCTACGTTTCTACCAAAATTCATCAAAATTTGTCTTGTGGTATAGTCGCGATGGCATAACACAGATTTACTTTGAGAGACCCTTTTTCTATATTGTGTAATGGACTCGTGTGTAAATTAAAACTAAGTATTTTTGATCATGTTCCCACTAATAGATATTATGAATGCTATAGTTTGTGAGGATAGATGTTCGGATGTACTTATATGATGATTGATGGTAATACAAAACTTTAGCTTTAGCTACTGAAATAATATACTGTATATAAACTATGTGAAACGATTTTTTTCATTCAGCAAGACTATTCAGGCTTTAAGATAGATATAGGAACGCGTAAGCAAGCTACGTAGAGCTGGTCGTGGGAAGAACATGGCCTACCCAAATGTATGTATACCTGCTACCTAAGGTTTGACTCTGCGACTTGTTGATAGCCATTGAAAATACAAATTTTTATGACAACTGCAGGCGTTTGAATTGACATTTACTGTTATATAACAATATATATTTCCAACTTCCTTAATAACATTATAACTTATATGTTATTCAGATGTGTGTGTTATTTGAAGGTTTGATTAAAATCTCTTAAGCAGTTTTTTATTCAAGAGTCACAAGCTCACAAACTTTGGCGTTTATAATATTAGCAAGCATATAATTGTAAGAATATTATAGAGAATTTGCTATAATTTTTTTATCAGGATTATTGGTGGTAGGAAATAATGCAATAAGTAAAAAAATATTTAATACAAATGTTTAATCAGTACTTTATATTAGGTAATAAATAAATTACATATTCATACTCTTAACTAGTAAAATACTAATTCTTTGATAGGAACTGGATAAAAAAATCCTTCTACCTGCTTTACATCGTTCTTAGCATAAATACCTACCTATAATCTGTTTTTTAATCCCAGAAATAAATTTGACGTTTCCAACGTTGCCACGTTTTTGTATTTTTTAAATACGGTTATGGCACTATCGGCAATTAATATTAATTACCCAGTGTTATGGAAAATAATGTGTGTGTGTTTAATTAAAACGCATTATTACAAAATTAATAAAGTATAGGTATTAATAAATATATGGTATTTGTATTAAACCATTTTTTGTTATTTTTCACTGAAATAAAGACTGACTGCTTTTTTTTATAAAACTAATGACCTTTTTATAGTGTCATATATCATAAAACAAACCTATTAAAATATTTTGCTGTTTGAAAGATAAAAATGTTGGGTTGTAGCTTAATACTGTAAAAAAAAACTATTTGTACGGAAACGACAAAAATGTATTTTTATGCTGTATAATATGACGACAGTAATGAAAACACTAGTATATGTACGTAAATTTTAAAATTCTGTTGTGAAAAGTCATTTACAGCTTTAAAACTAATCAAAATCAGTTAATGTAGTTTTAAACAAATCGGTATCGCAGGTACATCACTATTCCGCTATGGGTGGTAACATTATTTGAAAATTTGACATTTACACCTGTCAATTTAGTCTCCGGGATTAAAAAACAGACTATAAAAGAAATATTAATATGTCGATCACATTGATGTTCAGAATGGCAATATTTGATAGATATATAGAAATAGCTCTAGGATAAAGAATGAGTAAAATTTAGTTCTGTTTAGTTGCCCCAAAAGGAATAAAATTTAATTATGATAGAGCTCTAGAAACTAACGTACTTAAAAAATTACAATAAAATATATGCACTATTATCTGCTGTAACAAAATAAGTACTTGTTTAATGTCAAGCATAAAATTATTATTATATAAAAACTATTTTGGTAGAGTAAATTTTGCATACGGATTACCAACTTCGCTGTCAAGCTGTCATCGTAAACAAAGTATTATGTTAAATATGTTGTCTATGTTGAAAATACCAATTAACTAAAACTAAAAGAACTAAATAAATTGAAAAGAATACTGTTATATATTTCATTCACTCTATCTGTTATATATGGTACCTACTATGGTGGACGCAACGGACATACAAATCTATAGAACGCAATTTATGTACGACTGAAGACAGGGTTCACGAAAATAGTTCGTAGGGTAAAGTACACTTATGACTTATATTGTCTTCAGAGATTTTCCTAAAAATAATCTTTATAATTTAAAGTCATAATATTTAAGAAATTGAATGTCATTTTTTATATGTTGATTGCACGGTTTTATTCAGAGTTTTGGATAACTTTTTGTTGTATTTTGTAAGTACTCTAATTAACAGAATAACTATTTTTCATAAGATGAACTTCACTGTTTTATGTCGTTGTTTGTGAAAAGTATTCAGTTTTTAATAAATATTTGCAAATAAAACACGAAGTTTACATTTCATTTTCTATCAATAAATTCATTCGCACGTATAGGTAATGAAGTAAATGTGATTCCTAAAGTTATGTATGTTTTATGATTTAAATCTTTGGCCAACTCAAAGTTCGATAGCAATAAATTATTGATCTCTCTAATTACTATTATGTACTAACACTAAATAAGCTAGTTATTTACAAAGTTTACATTATTATTAATATTAATTATACTACTATATCCACCAGTGAGGCTGTACAATATGTGTTTGGCTCGAGAGAAGCTCAGTTGCTGACGCGCAATCAGTGCATTCAGTTTGAAGTCTTCCCATTTAGCCTTCAACTCCGGTATACGCGGGCCCCATGATTTTTTCGCTGTGAAAGATTTCTTTGCAGTCTGTGGAGAAAATAAAGACATTTAACAATTATTACAAGACTATAATCTATATCTTAATTACTATCTAATTTTAATATTAATTTTGAACAAGAGCACAGAAATTTAATATTTAATATTGTATTAAATTGTTTGTGTTAAATTTAATATCGTATAAACAAATAAATATATTTCACTTAAATGCTTATATTTATTTAAAAAGGGCTATGCTTGGAGATTCAGATTAATATAGCCTGAACGATCTACTTATGTACCTACTATCAGTAGATCTTTCAGGCTACATAGCAAGCTGAAATATTCGAGTGTTTGCTACATGGCTTGAGGAAGAGATACTGATAAGAAAGAAAGGTGAATTGACTACATCAAAAATGTTAAGGTTTATTTAACGGACGCTAGTTGTTCAGGACAGTATTTATGATTTAGCAGTTAGTTATTGTTGTTGTTTGTTGTTAATTATAATAACAAAAATGTTGTTAATTATACATTTCTCAAAGCACAAAAATGTCACTGTTATGACTGGCCTGTTCATTCATTCAGACTACCTTCCACGATCTTCTATCAGTCCCTTTAGCTGTTGATACGTACGACTCTAGCTTTTTCTTTAACTTGCTTGATATAGCTGTGTCTTGGTCTTCCCCTTCCTCTCTTTCCATCTATTTTTCCTTCTATAATGTTGTTAATTAGTTCGTCGTGTCGTATCAAGTGCCCCAACATTTTTCCCCGCCTATTCTCAATAATATCTATGATCTGTCTCTTTTCTTTAAACCTCTCAAGCACTTCTTCATTCCTTATTTTATCTTTCCAGCTAATTCTGTCCATTCTTCTCCAACACAACATTTCAAAGGCTTCTAGTTTGTCTCTTTCCTTTTGTGTCAATGTTCACGTCTCACAGGCATACAAGGCTATACTCCAGATGTAGGTCTTGATAAGTTGTTTCCGAGAGGACTTTGATATATTAGCTCTCAAAAGATGTTTTTTATCATTAAATGCTCTTTTCGCTATAGCTATTCTGATATTAATGTCCTTAGTACATCTGGAGTCACTGGTAATCAATACTAACTGGAGTCACTGGTAATCAAATACCTAAATATTTAAATGTATCTACATTTTCAAATTGTATTTCTTTTATTCTTGTAGTATTTCTGTTATGGGGTTTATGTTTTGCTACTGTCATTATTTTAGTTTTCTTGGTATTAATATTTAGTCCATATGTTTTAAAATTTTTATTCATTATGTCCAAAAGTGTATAAAGCTGTGTGTAGTCTTCTGCTAGGGCAGCTATGTCGTCAGCAAATCTTGTAAAATGTATCCTTTGTCCGTTTATTTGAATACCTCCCTGGTGTGATTCTATTATTTCTTTTACTGCAGCTTCTATAAAGATATTGAAAATAAGAGGTGAAAGTGGACATCCCTGTCGTACTCCCTGTTTAATTTTAGCTCTTTCCGTTACATTTCCTATCTCTATTGTAGTTTCTTGGTTTTTATAAAGTTGGTAAATTATTCTCCTATCTCTGTAATCTGTACCTACGTCTTTTAAAATTTGCATCATTTTTCTCCAATTTACTTTATCAAAGGCTTTCTCTAAGTCTACGAATGCAATACAAGTCTCCCTACCGAGTTCCATTCTTCTGTCCATTATTAAACGTAGTGCTAATATTGCTTCACGCGTTCCTTTATTTACTCTAAAACCGTATTGATCTGGTCCTATGAATCTCTCTGTGTGTGGTCTTATTCTGTTCTGGATTATTTTTAAGAGTATTTTGGATATATGTGACAGTAAACTTAATGTTCTATATTCTTCACATTTTAATGTATTTGCCTTCTTTGGGAGTGTTACTGTCTTACTTAATGAAAAATCATTTGGTATATTACCTGTTTCATATATTTCACAAATTATTTCGTATATTTTATCCTTTATTGTACTATTATCTATGTATTTAATCATTTCTATATAAATGTCATCGTTACCAACTGCTTTTCCACTTTGAATACTACTTACTGCTTTGTCAAATTCTTCTCTTAATATTGGAGGCCCAAGATTGTCTTTATCTATTATGTTTTCATCTTCTATATCCTTATCACTTAAGCCTTGACCATAGTAAAGATTTTCTATGTATCTTTTCCACCCATTTATTATGTCTTTATTGTTAAATAATATTCTGCTATTTTCGTCTAATATTGCAGTACTTTTTATTTTAGGCTTCTTGTGTATTTCCCTAATCATATTATATGCTCTACTCATTTTTCCTTTTTTCATATGGTCATCAATTTCATTACAAATCTTTTCTATGTCCTTCTCTTTACTTTCCCTACATTTTAGAGTAATTCTGTTAGTAATTCTTTTATATTCCTTTATACTATTTTCATCTCTTTTGTTTCTTAGTTTTCTTCTTTCTAACATAAGGTCTATTATTTCAGTAGTAAGCCATTTCTTTCTTGGTATTATTTTTTGTTTTTCTATGCTCTCCTCCGCCGATGTTTTAATAATATATTTTACTGTATTCCACCTATCCTCTATATCTATATTCTTATTATTTAATATACCCTTGTGGGTTTCTATTTTATCTTTTAACTTATTACTATATTGCACCCTATTATTGCTTTCTAACTTAAGTTTAGTGAGATCGATTTGCTTACGTCTATTTATTCTTTTGATTTTTTTGACTAGAAAATTATGTGTGCTAGTTAAAAGGTTGTGGTCAGTATTAAGGTCAGCCCCTGGAAGTGTTTTGCATGATGTTATTTGATTACGATGACTATTTCTTATTATTATAAAGTCAATTTGGTATCTTCCAATGTCTCCTGGCATTTTCCACGTATATAGACGTCTTTTATGGTGTTTAAAAAAGGTGTTTCCAATGAACATGTCATTTTCTTTACAGAATTGTATTAGTCTATCTCCTCTACCATTTTTTACTCCATGCCCAAATTTCCCTACCACATTTTCGACTTCTCCTTCCCCGACCACTGCGTTAAAATCACCCATTACTATTAAATTATCTTTTTTATTTACTGTATCTAGTATTTCATCAATGTGATTATACATCTCTTCTATTTCTTCATCTGGATATTTACTAGTAGGCATATAGACTTGTATGATTACTAAGTTAGTTGGTTCTGCTTCTATTTTAATTGCGGTTATTCTGTCACTATAATGTATCGTATTTTCTACCAGTCTACCCCATTTTTTATTTAGTATTATAGCTGTTCCATTTGCACCTTGCTTTTCTCCACCTGTATATATTATTCTATAATTCTCCTTCCAGTAATCTCCGCTGCCTTCCCATCTAACCTCACATAGTCCTAAAATGTCTATTTTTAATCTATTCATTTCATGAAGTACTTCATCTAGTTTCCCTGTAGTCAGCAACGTCTTTACGTTCCATGTGCTAATCTGGCAAGGATTTCGCATGATTGCCGGACTCAGACCGCCACGGCATGTTACATCGTGGAAGCCCGTTGTCAAGAACTTTACTTTTATCTTTATTCGTTCCATGCTCCATTTAATAGGGAATTCAGTGTGGTGGTTTCCCCATTTGCCTTCTACACCGTGGTTCAGCGGCCAGTGGGATCTGCCCGCTGATACCTGGTCAAAGGCCCTTCCAGAACTATTTCTTCGGCCCCTTGCCAGTACTAGCCCCGCCACTGCCCGACACTAGGGGAAGACCTTTTTGATGGCGGTCTTTTGTCGCCATGTCACAACGTCGTCATTAGACTTCTGTGGGTTTTCATAGAAAGGTTCACCCCCATGAACCTCCCACCACGTCCTGATAACGCTGCCGCTGTTTGGTCGGGGACTGCTTATCGACATATTCGCAGCTAACCATCATATCTGCCTTTCACTATCCGCCACCTGTGACCCCGTTGGTAGCCTACAGCTTAACTGGCCTGTATTATATGTAAATAGTACTTACTTTTGATAATACTCCAGTCCTATTCTTCCACATTGTCAGGAATATGAAGATAGGCACGAAGACAACACCGACCAGTAACATTAAGTATCCAGAGACTGTAACAGAAATAAAACATGAGTACCTATTTAGGTTGTCTAGAGTTACTATTTGAGAAATTCCTTCAAAGGATACGTCAACTAATGTAGGTTGGTGTAGTTGTTATGAGCCATTCCATTACCTCACAAATGATTCCTATGCTACCTACATAAAACGTGCAAAAGTTTTTCTGTAGTAATTTCAAATTGGTTTGGTCCCGGACTGGTCACTAGAATAGGAATTCTAGTGACCAGTCCGGCCCTACAATAAAGGTACATAACCTCGGCCTCTCAAGCTGCTGCAGTAGTTATCAGTATCCTCCCTAAAACAGTTTTTTATCTTTCTACAGCTTCTTAAATAGAGTATTTCCAAGGCGTGTTGATGTTAAGCAGGCTATTGGTGGACACTACAAGCTAAAACATTTTTGATACCGCTCATGGCAACACATGATTAGACGGACTAAGATGTTAAATGAACTGCCTTTTTAAATTTACATATGAACTGATTTTGTTTGTATTTTTATTTCAGCCGCCAACGTAGATAATTATTTAAAAATTTTACCTTACTGGTTAAATGAATAAATTAATATGAAGATTTGTTTGTATTTACTAAGTCGATAATATGGAAAAGAACGCATAAAGAAACTCAAAATTTCTTTGCATGAATGCATGCAAAATTTGCATGAATTTCTAACAACGTTTTCTATAAATTGTAATGAATAAAATTACCATATCCCATAGTAGGATACACGTAGTCGCCGAATGTGATTGCTTCGAATGATGTTAGGGCGTATATAAACACCACTAACATCATGCCTGGAGTGATGATTCCCCAGCAGAAACGCCAATAAACTGACGTAGTCACTCCCAGCATGAACTGAATATCAAGGCAGAAGCTCTCCAAACCTGAAATGATGATTTAGATATAATTAAAAAACTATATAATTACTTAAATGATAAACGGGCATGATGTTATTTTATTGACATATGAAATTTTCATTACATTGTAAGACAAACATATATACTCTTTTTTTTTCGAATTAATGCAAAAGCTTTAGACAAGCTTTTCACTTTACCACTAGGGGTTCAAACCCAAGCCGTCGTATTTCCGATCTCCATTACAATGGAACAGGGGATCGATTGGAGAGGATATACAGACCCCAATAAGTACATGTTAACAATTTGACTTTAAAAAGCACAACAGTTTCATTTCTTGCTAGTTCTCAACAGAATTGGATGGTAAGAATAAAATAATGATTGAAGTTGAAAATAATTTGAAATGAATAAGTATATCAAACGGGGAGTGAGATTCATCCAGAGAACAAAGAACGTTCAGTGGATATTTGTATGTTATATCACCTATATTTTGGGGAATATGTTAGGGATACTACTATATAAGGAAAAGCAATTAACTAGCATGATAGATACAAACTCATGAACTTATAAAATAGACCAAAGTGAATAAATATAATTATAAATAATAGTGAATAAATATAATCAATGAAACAGACTAAATAAAAAATCAATAACGTACCATAAATCCAGAACACGCCAATAATTTCGCAAATGGCAGAGAATAGTACAAGGAACGTTCCACCATAATAGTCGACTAGTTCCAGTATATATTGACCACCCTACAAAAGAAAAACCAAATGTTTTATATCACATTAAATGAGATGATTAATATGGGAACGAATGAAGGAATGATCTTTGACGATAGATTGATTTACGTTCTTTTATAATTTATTTATTAAAGCATTTTAGATATAGCAGTTTAAATATTTTGAACATATTAATAGTGGCGACAACATGTATACGTTAAATATATACGACTATGTTTCTACCATTATTTCCTTATATGGATTCTATATATAGATCTTCTTAGAAGTGTATATTCTTCTCTATACTAGCTAGCTCTGAGATTAGTGCACTCAAACTAATTCATACTCAATTATTAAAACTTAATTTCCTTTACACTTTTATAGCATTACTGTAGATTTAGTGGGGTTTATGAATATTTAAAGACAACAAATGCACATAATATTATTAGTATACCTATGTAGGTATGGATAGTTATAATTTTATCGTCCTTAGTTAAATAAATTTGTAAATTCACAATAGATAAAATTTCCTTATTAATTAATTTATAATATGAGTTCGTAATTTCACAAGTAAATGTGAATTTATTGTACCCACTGTCATTACGTTTTCAGCAAACGAATAGATATTTATTATAGCTAGATCAAGCATCTATAATATAATTATAATATTTACCGGGGTGACATAGATGAGACCGACACAAAATCCAACAGTGCAGGAGAACGCCGACATATATATAGTGGGAACTCTGGGAAAGGCATCCAACAAAACAGTATTGATGGTTGAGAGCAATGCCACTCCTGAGCCCACTCCCAGCACAGACATCATCAAAAAGAACAGAATTGAGAATAGCTGCAAGGTAAGCGTAGTTATTTTATATACTTATTTGAAAATAGGTACTTATTTACTACTAAAAGTCATGTTTTATCTAAACAGCTTAATAACATTTCATTTCGAAATTATTAATTTAAAATTAGATTTCTCTTCTATTTTATATTTTTATAATGTCATTCGACATTTCATTTCATTTTCTTAGACAAACACACATTATTTTTGAGAACATAATTGTACGTACTAAGTTTTCGTTAGATAAATACAGATATTTCTCTAACAATGACAATTTCTGCAAACATAACAAAAGACTAGTCTAGTTAGTATGTTGGTGTACAGTATCCTACAGGAAAATATAGTGGTTAAGAAACTAAATCAAATACTGTCTTATGCTGAATACATAATTGTTGTTAGCTACAGGTACTTTTTTGTACTTACTTGGGGCTGGAAAGTTTTGGCGATTGCGTCTGGATATGAAACGAAAGCTAACCCAGTACCACCAGTTCCAAGTACTTCCCCTACTCCTACACCCAACTCGTGTGCCAAGTTGCCTAAAATACCAAATATGGTAATGCCAGATAATAAACTTGTGAACGTATCCAATGTAGTTACAATCATGGCATCTCTGAAATAACAAGTATATGTATTTCACTTTAATGTCATAAAATAAGTTATATAACAATAAAACTTAATTTAACTGACATCAACCAAATTTCATTAACGTTATTTACTTTTATAATTTAAGTACAATTTTCTCCATCATTGACTAAATTGATTGACAAGAATAGAATTCTTATTATATTTGGTCGTAAAAATTATTTAATCTCACACTTAGGTCTACATATACTAATACTATATTATGATTGTCTAACCTGTAGATATTCTGATCGAATTTGTTGTAAGAGGAGAACATAATAATAGCTCCGGTACATACTGAGAGAGAGAAAAATACTTGTGTTACAGCCGCGTACCACACCTGAAATACACATTAAGATTTTTAACAAATTATCTACCAGATGCACTGATAACTGACAGATAGCTATAAAGAGAGAACAGAGAGTACTACGGTAATACTGATTTATTTCAATATGAATTGCGTTTTCAGTGTGACTTACATCAAGTTCGGCAAGTTTCTTCCACTCCGGTCTCAAAAAGAACTTAATGCCATTTCCAGCTCCATCCAGCAGACAAGTACTAAATCAGAATAGAAATTAGTCAGTTTGGATTTTAAAAAAAATAAAGCAAAAATAAAAATGAACAAATCTTTTTTTAATTTGCGTAGCTTATTAATTAGTAAATTGTATGGAAATATTATATACCTAGTAATAGAAATAGAATACTAGTATTGACTTTTGAATAGTCATATTTTTTATTCTATAACTCTTTTGGAACGCAGATTAATCACAAGAAGAATGAGGAAGAAACTTGTGTATTGCTCTTTGTATAGATGTTTTTTTATATTAATAATTACACAATAACAAGTAAGATGTATGCGTTAATTTATATAGAAACCGATACGCACGCCTTAGTGCAATGAGATAATATTATCAGCACTATGAATTTTAAGTTTTTCTACAAAAAACATTATTATCGTTAACGACCTCTTAAATTTTATGCTTAAATAATATGCTTTCTTTATAAAGGAAGGGTTTTATACGACATTTAAATATTTTTTCAGGCAGATTTAGAACAGACTCTGGTAGTTTGTTGTAAAATCTTATGCAATTACCATAAAAAGAACTAACTAAAAAAAAAGTAAAAGGACTAACTTTAGTTAAACAACATTTAAGTAAAATCAGTTTGTTATTGTTACGTAAGCTTTTATTAGACTAATTATAATTAATGTAAATATAAATATTACTAGGAAGGAATGGGCGGTGACCAAGTATTAATCGACCCCTATTTTAACTGATAGGTCGTGTGATAAATTTGGGGTGACACTAAAAAAATCTAGTCTAATGACAATATACCTGATATCACGGTTGTCACATACGTTCGTCATTCGTACGGTAAGCTTCACCGCTTACCGCTTTCCATCGGGTTGGCATTCACCTTGTCCGCGATTTATTTTATAAAATAAATATTATAATTTTCAGAGTTAATAAATACCAACCTAATCAGCAGCATTATCATGACGACGTAAGGGAACAGAGCAAGGAAATATGCAGCTTTGCCGGAACTTCTTACTCCTTGTGACACAATAATGAAGATGATTAGCCATGACACCAGCAGACTCAAGGTCAAATACCATATTGGAGCTCCTGTAAACATATAAAATATTGGATTTTAAACTCTATCCCCTGCACACTACAATGTTTAAATTGTCAGATTCTGTAATATGTTTAGCCTAGCTTAATATCTAAAAAATGTGTAAACTAAGATAATGTTGCTTTTATGATGTAGATTGAATAGAAATAATTAGAAAATTAAAGATGTTTTCAAAATTCAACAATTTTTGATAAAGCTTACACTAAGGCGACTTAATTTTATAGTTTTACCTCTATATAATACAAATATAATGATAAAAACTCTGCCATGAATATTAAAATCATTCATTAAGCATTTCGATGTTAGGATGTACCATTGGAAATAGCTATATAAATCCACGTTTGAAAACAATAATGTTATATTAAAATACTAACCTAGTCCACCTTCAATGCCATCACTCATCTGAAGGACTGTTTTCCTGTGAATAATCAAAATTTAAATTGTATGAACAATCAATCCTTACTAATATTATAAATGCAAAAGTAACTCTGTCTGTCTGGTTGTCTGTCTCGCTTTCACGCCAAAACTACTGAACCGATTTAAATGAAATTTGGTATATATTTAACACTCACACATGTTAATTGTAGCGGAATTAAACAAAATAATATAAATCCATCGAGAAGTGAAATTTGGTACACAGATAGTCTAGACCCTGAGAAAGCACATAGGATACTTTTGGATGCGAAAAAATGGTTGTAAGGGGGTTGAAATGGTAGATGCATGGTTCTACATAAGAATCATCATTTTTAAAGGTGGAAGCTTGAAACTTATATTTTAGGCTGGTAACTGAATGTGAATAAATACGATATAAAAGTTTTTAAAAATTTTATCCTTAAGGGGGTAAAATAAAATAGGGGATGAAAGATTTTAGGTAAATTCGTGATTATGAGGTTAGATCTATGAAACTTTTTCCATTGGCTTTTTTGGGTTAGTTTATATTTTATAACTAATATTCTAACTGTGAAAGTAACTCTGTCTGTCTGTCTGTCTGTCTCGCTTTCACGCCAAAACCACTGAACCTGAACTGATTTAAATGAAATTTGCTACACAGTTAGTCTAGACCCTGAGAAAGGACATAGGCTACTTTTGAATGCGATAGAAGGGTTATAAGGGGTTGAAAGAGTTATGTGTGGAAGTGTCGTCAATTTTGAAGATGAAACGATGAAACTTTTTCATTTGGCTTTTATTAGGTTAGGTCATGAATTTTTTTTTTCATTATTTGGTCAAGGTCACTATTTTCGCGGACGAAGTCACAGGTACAGCTAGTGTTTCATATTTGAATTGGGAAAATGATTTATAGTATCATGCATTATGAGAGTACCTACTCTTCGAAAGAACCCACCGAACAGTATTGATTGTTCTGTTTCCTATGAAAGATTAAGAAAGTAAGAAACAGAGGGTGCCTTAACATTTCAGTTAAAGCAAAATATATATAGGTACAGAAACCAATCCACGGGGTTCCCCTAAAAAACATCCCAATTAAGTGCTGCTTAATTTGTCACGATGGCCAAACTGATCTGTCCAACTTCATCGTGATTTGATCGTTTTACACTACACTTTTGCAGTACACTTTCGATATATTATATTGTTCGGTATTATATTGTAGACCTAGTATAAAAGACAGAAAGAAAGAGAAAGAGAAAATTTAGACAGTTTTGTTTTTAAACTGATATTGATAGGTATGCGTATGATCATTTGATAGGTATGCGCTTATTGGAATGTATCATCGCTTGTTCTGTTATATACTATATACAGGATTAGTAGAAAAGGTAAGTACATATTATAAGTATACATATATACTAATACGACTCATTCGGAAGGCAATACTCATCGCAAGCAGAATGACCAAGAAACTTGCTAAATAAATGTTATTTAAAATTATTTTTTTAAGAATGTTTAACTAAATAAAGTACTCATGAAAATCAACCACTTTCATCAAGAAACAGATTTTCATACTTAATTGTTTACGTGACCTCGCAATTTGTGTATGAAGGTTTTAAAAATTCTTTTCATATTTGGCCTTTACTCTTTATATTGAGAAATAATTGTACTGTTATCCATTTGGCAATTTTGTCGTTTTAATAACTGTGATGATTAAATGTGCGAGACTGATTTTTTAAGCTATCCTACACAATAGTACCATATTAATAGCAACCAATAAAATAATTTCATTTTATCATAGTGTAATTTTTCAGTTTATTTCATATTATCACTGGCCTTAGTCTTAGTATGTAATATTATCTTATCTGTACTCTTAGTACACCCTATAAGACTAATCCTGGTGATTAATTGGCCAATGTCCTTTCTTCTGGCGAACGTGAGAAATACATTATTAGGTACTTAGCATCATCAGTAATGAACTATATTATTAATTAGCAAGTAATTATTACAAATAGATACAAGGAACGAAGTAGTCTGTTAAAATTCATCTGCGTGGGTACCTGTCTCACTTATTCCACTTGCTTAGCACCTGGCTTCGTAAGCTGTGTTTCAATTGAAAGGTGACAAATAGTTATAAGTTAAGAATTATTATAAGATAAGATGTATGAGTTAGTCCTCCAGAGTGGCAATGCATGAGCGATATCACGGGTGGCTCATGTTAACTTGAATAAGCGAGAGTTACCACATACTATCAGGTGGGCCGTCAGCTTGTTGGTCATTCGAATTACCTAAGAAAAAACTATGTAATTACTTACGTAAAATATAGTTCAGCGCTGCTAGAGGCATTGGGGGGCCGTACGGAGCCGTCCGGCATCGATGGCACACATGATACATTGCCCCATGCCTCATCGCATACGGACCACGGTAGCGTTGATTGAAAACTCATCGACAGGTAAAACAGGCACAATGCTATTATAGACACGTAGTATGATAGAATGTAACCGCAACTCATAGCTTGCGCATATCCTGTACCTGCAAATTGTATAATAATTACAGGCAATTTTCATTACGATTTTTTTATTTTTATTACGAAATAGTGATGATAATGATAGAGTCACTTTTGTGTAGGTTTGGTGTATAAAATTATATATAAAAGTGAAAAGAGAGCGTCGTGACATAATGGTTTAATACCCGAAATTATACATAAGGGACCGTGAGTGCAAATCTCACCGACAGAAATAAAACTTTTTGCGTTAATTTATATTTCTAATTAGCTCTTGGATGAAGGAAACAGCGACATCAAACCAAAAATTAATATGACAAATATAGCCAGCAAAATGTGGGCTTATGTAGTGTTTGGCGTTCACTAATGCATCACCAATAACAATGTCTATGACTAAGGGATTATAGTTGTGACGGTTTGATTTGTCATAAAAATTATTATTATCACTTAAGAGGAGTGTGTCCACACAATAAAATTATAATGTACAAGTACATATATAGGTATTCTTCAATATTCGTTCTATCTCTATTCATAGATATTGCGTGTCCCCTCACCGAAGCGCGATAGCAATACTTCCAAACGAAATATTGCCGTAAATACGTAATACGTTCCGCTCTAGTCGGATTGCTTTATTATTACCCCTTTCTTTGTAATTCTGACTGTACTGTGTTAGATTGTCATAGGAAAGAGCTAAAGGTACATATTTTGATGAAATCGAGTTTTTCAATTACGTGTAATTTTAAAACAAACTTGTTTAAAGAGAATCTGACAGTTTTGATATTGTTTCATATTCCTATGGATAAAAGTTCATACATTTTATTTCATTATAGTAGACTATTTTCATAGTAGCACGTTTTGTATGGGAGAGGGATCGGGGATATGTAGCCTTAATAAATATATGTATGTCAGCCGAAATATCCAAATTACAGTTGCAGCAAATTTACAGAAAATGCGTCATACTTTATAATTTAAGTAAATTATATTATTGAGTCAAATAATGAAGACATCATTATTTACTTAATTAGAGCTACTTTAAATAATAAAAAAAACATAATTGATATTTATAAGATTATATAGAAAAATCTTCTAAATTTCTCTATCTAAAATAAGGTTCATCGTGTTTTAAATAGTAGGAATTATTATAACTGAGGCTCACAAATAAAAAAGGCGAAACCTTTGTGTTTGGCGAAGTTTGCTAGTTTCTAATATTACAACACGGGTACAAGATTATAAGTACCTTTCATTGCAGGTGACAATGACCAGACCTTCACCGAATTTCTTGAACTGAATTGTCCTAGTATACACTCCAAGTAGTACATAGGTTTTCCAATAAGAAACAAAACAATGAGGTAGGGTATAAGGAACGCTCCGCCTCCATTTGTATAAGCAATGAACGGAAACCGCCACACGTTGCCCAAGCCTACAGACGTTGCAATGCAGGACATCAAGAATTCGATTTGGTTGTCCCATGTTGCCCGTCCGTCCATGTTGTCATTTTCCTGAAAGTACAGAGTAATTGTTTTTAGATACATAAATTTCTGAATCTAAAAAAAGTCCAATGACAATAGTGACAATAAAGTCAGATGCAATCCAAAGACTTTTGAACACATTGATTTTATGGCAATAGCTTGGCCACACAATTCAAAGAAACTATAACCGATAAGTAAGAAAGGCTGGTGAAATAGTTAAATTTATTATTATTTATTGAATGGAATTGCAAAATTCAAAATTCCCGCGCCACCTGATAGTAAGTGGTAACCGTCGTCTATATAGATAAACAGCAACACTGCACCACGGACATCAAGTTACCGTCCATAGGCTACGGTGACCAATAACCGTCAGATGCTTCATTACCACCTTCGTAGTGTAAAAAAAGTTTTTATGTGACCCCCGTGATAATATTCATGGCACGCTATTCCATAGGACAAATCAAATATACTTGGCGGTTGAATAGGTGAGACAAAGAAGATTTTTTGTACAAGATTTATGTCCTACCTCAAAGGATATATAAATGTAAATTATGATGACCTGTAAATTTCAATTCTCTTTGTCTTTTAGATAAACATCAATAAAATTATAATGGAAGGAATTTAATGTTTATCACAGATATTTGAATAATCTAAAGGTAATATATCTGAACTTATTTACCATTGTCATCTGTCCGTATCTTATCCTTATCTAATTATTTAAATGTAAGAATAATATGATTGATAATTTACGTAGATCATATTGCTTCGCCATTATCTGTAACGTCCTGATAATGGCGACGCAATATTTAAATTCGTATCTTCCTGTATGTTACAGATGTGCGAGATAAGTGATTGATGATCGGTTGTACCCGCAAACCGGTTCTATACTCTAAGTAACTCGGAAGTTATGAGAGTTCATTTTCCGTCTTCTCCTTGTCCAAGTTTAAGAGGAGCAGGCACTCAGTCATCACTAAACCCTATAAAGTGGAGTAGCAGCACTGGTTCCTTGTTGATTTTGGTTGGAAATTATATATAGTTATATAATAATTGACATTTCCTTTAATCCACAGTGCGAATACGTAATTTTTAACTTTTCCTTACAAGATAGTTACGAGGGATAGTAGGATAAGGATTTTCTTATGAGAAACTTGGACATATGACTATTTCTGGGGTGTTTGACGGAGACACTATCGGTATCGTCAACATATTAGAAGTATCGTGAGCAGAGTGCCGATAATTATTTATTGGTGTAGTGTATCTCCCCATAACATGTTTTGCATTTCTATAAATATGGGTGTTTTATTACTAAACCGTCCAGTTCCATTTTCAGTTAATTTTATGCAATATATTTACATTATTTAAAATGTTGGTCGTATAGAATGTTAAGGAGGCTATATCATTTGGCTATAATCTCAAAGCACATCTTAAAGGTCTCTGCATAAAATTCAGGGTCCCAATTTCTTATCATACATGATATCTGGATTTTGTGGGAAAAAGGTTCCCAACTCTTGATTGACGTAAAGCTGTTCAAAGAGTTTAGTTGTGCTATAGCGACAATATTACAGTACCCGCTATACTCTTATGCGTGATCATTCCAGACGTTTGTATTTTGTTTTGGTGTATAAATTATTGTGGGTGTTTTAAATGATAGTTGATAGTAACTAATAAATCTCGGCATATTTATGACCTAAATAATAATTAAAACCACCATAACATACCGCTTTAACGTCTACTGACGCATCATCATTCATGAAATCTTTCCTTTTTCCCTGGGATGATCCTGGAACTTGGCCAGCACCATCATAATCATTTAAACTCTGAAAATTAAGAAATAGTTTATGTATTATTAAAAGGATCTGATTTTGGAATGTTTAGATTTTGTTATATCGACTTATTAATTAATTTAGTTAATAATAATGTTAATAACTAATTAATGCCCTTATGCTGTTATGTTATTTCTTTTAATTATTACATACTAACTGCAGTTTTATGTAATTACTAGCAGTACCCACTTCGTCCTCATATTATAGTAACCTTGATCAAATAAAAAAAATCAATAATGTAACCAAAAGAACTCAAAGAATAAACTTTCAAAAATTAGGAATTCAAACAAACTTTATTTTATCCCTTTAAGGGTAACATATTCACAAACTTTAAATGTCCCATTTATTTATATTTAAAAATGATGATATTTTCATCTTTTATCTCCCCTTTCAACCCTTTACAACCCTTTTGCTTTATTTATATTTAATCAACGGCCTAACAAATAAGTTTCAAACTGCTAGCTTAAAAAATTACGATACTTCAATAAAATCTTTCAATCCTTTTTTCTTTATTTATATTTAAATATCAGGTTAAAAAATAAATTTTATGTTTCTAGATTTAAAAATGCCAATACTTCCATACGGACTTACATCTTCTCTATCAACCCGTAACACCCCTTTTTATGACTATCTATGTACCAAATTTCATTTAAGGCGGTTTATTACTTTTGTCGTGAAAGCGCGACAGACAGACGGAATTACTTTCGCATTTAGAATATTAGTAAGGGCTATTTACTACTCTTTAGAGTAGTAATTACCTACGGTAGTACTCTATTAACGAAAAATATTTAATTTTCAACTGCTTTAACTTGATTACTAAGTAATAACGTAAAACTTTACCATTGCATAATAAATTAGGCATATGTCTATCTTAATCTTAATTAATTTTCACAAACCTCAACAAATTATTCACCTAAACCTTCAAAAATCAATCTGTTGATTATTTTTAATAGTGTGTTGTTTTATAATTAATGTGTCTGTAGATATCTTCTGTAACCTAGTTTAATTATTACATTGTTCTGTTAAGATTTCGCATTAGATAAAGATATTTATATGACTGAGTCAATGATCGTGTTCAAAAAAGATATCATTGAAAATACTGTCACCGTAATCCAAAACGCGATAACAGAATTTGTAGATGAGGTATTTAGGTAGGCACTGATATTGAACAATCAAATACCTAAAGGAGACAATAAAATAGGACACATAGCAAGGCAAACGTTATCTATGTGGGTTTTTTTAGTAATATCGCGTTTATATTTATTTTATATATACCAAATGTACCCGCGACTTTGGATACGTCGTTTCTGATGTAGCAAGTACCTTTTAAATTTAATAAACTTATTATTCGGTTCGTGTACCAATTGCACAGGAAAGAAACACTGAATATTATGGAAACCTTGTTAGTTGGTTATTACATCAGTGAAAACCGCATTTAAATCAATTAAGTGGTTTCTCAGATTAGCATGAACAGACATACCTACAGATAATATTTCTAACAACTGTTTTATGACCTTGGTAATGCAATACTATACAACATAATTTTTTTTTTTAAAATACTGTACTGACGTTATTCATTTACGATTTTATTATATGAAATGTGACAACAAAATAATACGAAACTTATAATTACGTATATAATACTATTTATGTTAGGATTTTGTAACATAGGGTTTTTAGATTATGACAGTAGGTACTATCAATATTATGTTATCTGTGGTACTACAAAAACCCATTTAATTTCTATATTTTGGTTACTTATTTTTTTTTTTTTGTTTAAGGTTTTATTGTTTAAGGACTTTAGTCTTTCAATTTTATACAAAACGTCTACAAAATTTGAGAGGTGACCAGTGTTGATACACAAACAACTTACACTAAAAAAGTAAACTATTGTATCAAAATACACATAAACGTATTGATAAAAATACCTGTATAGGCAATTAATATAAAACTGCTGTATTTCATTATGACGTAGGCGGCTAAGTTGATACTATTTTCTTTACTATACAGAAAGGAACAGATAATCAAGAAATATCTTATAGTAAGTTGGAACTATATATTCGTACATCAACAGCACCAATATAACATTATTATATCATAGCATATTTATATATAGCAGTGGTACTGCATTTGTGTTATCATTTCGAAGCACTAATTCTACTACTAGTAATAAACATCTAAACAGAGCTCACATAGCAAGCTGCTTGGCGGGTGAAATAGGTTAGAAGTATTTACAGGAACTCAGACGACTTTGTATGTATTTATAAAGTATTGCAGTGCAATTTCATAATTGCGTTTCGATGTATTTGGTGGACTGAAGTTTTTTTATTGTTGATATGTGGAACCCAAAAAATTATAATTTTGTACAATATTACAAAATTGAAATATCCGGAAGATACGAATGGCAAATTAACCATACATCGACTCACTCAGAACAGGACCTAGTTTGGTTCACAGTTCACATTCAAAATAGGAGATTGTAGATGTAAGACGTGGAATATGCGGGGTAAAACTATATAGGCTTAGGAAAATACGCCTCAATCTTTCAGGCTGAAACAATCGCCTTAATAAGATGCCTGGAAGTATTCCTAAACCAAAACTACATCAACCAGAACATATACGTTTATTTTGACAATCAAGCTGCTCTTCTAGCACTTCACTCGTACGAAATCCGATCTAAACTCATTAGAAGTTTCATTTACTCATTTAGTAGCAAGGCACAGTGTCTTGCTACTAAATGAAGTAGAAAGCAGAAACAATATTATACTAGGATGGGTGCCCCGGGAGCACTCAAACATTGAAGGCATCGAACGAAAGGCCCCCACTGGACACTGTGCTGAATAAGCACATGGCGAAATTATGCCTTAGCTTAACATCAATCTGCAGATTTTGCTAAGCAGAAGAGGAAACGCCACTGCACATCCTATGTAGCTGTAGCCCTCTTATGCATAAACGAAATATGTCCTTCGGAAAGTATACACTATATCCTGAGGAGATAAAAACCATCGCTCCTAAGAATATCCTACAATTCTTGTCCCTTACTAGGTAGCGAACTTTGAAAAAGGGCGAGCACAATAGATCTATACAGTCGCAGTGTTACAGGTGCATCTGGTAATAGCCCAAACCGGCCAATAAAAAAAAATAAAAACCCCAAAATTCCAAATCGCATATATAGGCAGTGATTTGTATTTTAGCTTG